ATCTAGCCATGGAATTACAGAAGGATACAAAATGAAGCACATGCCCCTGCTTTCTCTGCACAGGCGAGGGTTAGGATTAAGGAAAGTCACTGATTTGCCAGTCCTCTGCCACGTGCGAAGACAGTGACTTTTGAACTGGCGTATCTAGCCATGGAATTACAGAAGGGTACGAAATGAAGCACATGCCCCTGCTTTCTCTGCACAGGCCCAGGGGAGGGTTAGGATTCTGTTCCACCCTCAAGGGACACACAAGCCTGCTGACTGGGGAAAAGCTACTTTTTAAATGAAAAATCTCTCGTTCTGTCTCACGTGCGCACACGCCAAGTACCTGGAACAGATGGCGCCAGCACACGGCTCATAGGCAGAGTGAGCTTTCAAATCCAAACATTAAAATTCAGTGGCTGCTTGGAAACCAGTCTCCAGGTTTCCTCTGGTGGCTGCTGAACTAGCAGTAGCCACTATCAAAAATTTTGTGCAAGCCTAGCATAGATAAGGCCAAAGTCAACATGTTCAGCACTTCGCTCCTTTAGCCCTCGGATGCCTATATTCCAAGGCCAGAAGGGACCATGGGGACCATCCAGTCCAGTGGTCCCCACACCTTTTACGACGTGCCGCTCCTTACCGCTGTCCATGCTCCCCACACACACCCCGGGAGCCTTGCTTGGGAGCCAGGGCTAGCAACACGACTGTTGGCGGAGCCGGTGGTGGGTGGGGGCCAACGGTCGAAGGGGGGCGAGGGAGCCAGGGCTGCTCCCTCCCCCCATGGGGGTTGGCCTGGGCTCCGCCACTCCCCCCAATGTTCCCCTGCACCCCCTTAAACATTCCTCCCCTCCCCCCAGCGGGGTGCACCCCACAGTTTGGGGACCACTGATCTAGTCTGACCTCCTGAGAACTTCAAAAATAATTCCTAGAGCCTATCTTAATTTAAAAATTGTCAGTGATGGAGAATCCACCACAGCCCTGCGTAAGTTGTTCCACTGGTTAATTACTCTCCCTGTTAAACATTTACCTTATTGCCAGTCTGAATTTGTCTAGCTTCAACCTCTATCCATTGGATCTTTCTCTGCTAGACTGAAGAGCCCATTATCAACTATTTGTTCCCCATGTAAATACTTACAGACTGATCAAGTCACCCCTTAACCTTCTCTTTACTAAGCTAAATAGATGGAGCTCCTTGAGTCTATCATTATAAGGCAGGTTTTTTAATCCTTTAATCATATTCATGGCTCTTCTCTGACCCCTCTCCAAATTATCAACATCCTTCTTGAACTGTGGGCACCAAAACTGGACACAGTACACCAGCAGCAGTCACGCTAATGCCAAATACAGAGGTCAAATAACCTCTCTGCTCCTACTGGAGATTTACATTTATGCATCCCAGGATCACATTAGCTCTTTTGGCCCCAGCGTCACACTGGGAGATCATGTTCAGCTGATAGGTAATATGTAAAAATGGCTTGCATTCTTCTTACTAGATGTATACATTTAGCCATATTAAAACACACATTGTTTTGGTAAACTGGGTGCAAGCAGAGACCCAGATAGCTCTGAATCAGGGACCTGTCCCCTTCAATATTTACCACCTCCCCAGTTTTTGGGTCATCTGCAAACTTTATCTGGGATGATTTTATGTTTTCTTCTAGGTCACTGATAAAAAGGTTAAAGAGCGTACAGCCTAGAACTGATCCCAGCAGGATCCCCCACTAGAAACACACCTCATTTACAATTACATTTTGAGACCTATCTGTGAGCCAGTTTTGAATCCATTTAATGTGTGCAGTGTTCATTTTATATCATTCTAGTTTTTTAATCAAAATGTTATGGGGTGCCATCAAATGCCTATAGAGAAGTCTAAGTAGATTATCTCAACACTATTACATCGATCAAATAAACTTGTAATCTCATAAAAAAAAGATGTTAAGTTAGTTTGACAGGGTTGATCTTCATACACCCATGTTGCTTTGCACTAATTAGATTACCCTATTAATAGTCTTGTATTAGCTGCTCCATTATCTTGCTAGGGATCAATGTCAGCCTGACAGGCCTACAGTTACCTGGGTCATCCCGTTTACCCTTTCAAACTGGCACATCAGCAGCCTTTCTTCAATCTTCTGGAACTTCCCCAGGGCTCCAAGACTTATTGAAAACTCAACAGGAATGGCCCAGCTCTTTCCAAACTCTTGGATGCAAGTCATCAAGACCCACTGATTTAAAAGAGTCTAACTTTGGTAGTTGCTGTTTAACATCCTCCAGAGATGCCAGTGGAGCGGGAAGAGTGTTATCGTCACCATATGATGAGACTGTACCACGTGTCTTTTCCCCAAATACAGAATAGAAATATTTATTGAACAGTTTTGTCTCTTCTGCATTATTATTGATAATTCTACCATTTCCATTGAGTAGTGGACCAATACCATTGTCAGGATTCTTTTTGTTCCTAATATATTTAAAAAACTCCTTATTGTCCTGAACTCTGCAGCCATAGATTTCTCCTGGTGTCCCTTGGCTTCCCTGATCAAAAATTTTCTACAATTTTTAACTTCTGATTTATATTCATTACTGTCAACTTACCCTTTCTTCTATTTGTTATATATATATATTTATAGCTGCCTTCCCTTCCCCTCTAAACCAGATCATTTTTTTTATCAGCACGACCTTCTTCCTCGATTGTAGATTGTGCCTTTGGAGGCATCTAGTCAAGTGTCCTTAAATGATTCCCAATTATCATTCACATTTTTCTGATTAAACTCTTCCTCCCAGCTGATCTGGCTCATACTTGTTTTCAGCTTTGTGAAATTGGCCCTATTAAAGCACCAAATATGTATATTACTGGTCTGGACTTTATGCTGGTTGTGCATTATAAATGACCAAGTCATGATCACTTGTACCTAAGCTACCATTAATTTTTAGTTCTGTGATCAGTTCCTCTCTATCTGTTAGGATGAGGTCTAATGCAGAAGAAGTTCTTTCCCTGGGTTGGCTGCAACTTTCTGGGTTAGGAAATTGTCATCTGTTCTGTTGACTACTGGCAGCATGAGACCTCCCACATGTGTCACTCAAACTAAAGTCCCCCGTGATAATGCATCTTTTTTCCTACACATTATAGACAGGTGCATAAGGAAGATGACATCCGGTTCCCTGCTGCGATTTGATGGTCTGTAGCAGACACCAACTAATACCCCATCTTGTGCTCTCACCCGCCAGGACCACGGTCTGTGCCTGTGAGGGACAACAGAACTACAACCCTGATGAGGGCTGGTTTTCTTTAGCATATTGTGTATTAACTCAACCTCAGGTTCAAGATTTTTCCTCGGTGACGTAAATATGCAAGGACAAAAATGGGAACAGGTTTGTAAGGAAGGGATCCATTTGGGTTTAAAATGAGATCCGAATCTTAGAGTTACAGTTAGAAAGTTTCCTTATGGTGATGATTAGATGACTAGCTATTAAGCAGATTGGCTAATTTTAAGCACCATGTCACGCAGACCTGCTCTGAGCAGAGTGGTAAAAATGCCTGAGTTCTGTTTACACCACAGGTTCCACCACCGCAACTCCTTTTCTGAATGCACCCGTGGGTGTTGAGTTATGGGCCCATTTTTGCCTAGCTCAAGGGTGCATCAGAACTGACCAAGCTGTCTGTGTTAGCAGGCTGGCATCAGTGTTTGTAACACAGCATGCAAGAGCAGAGCATCGCTATCAGGATGAGGTTTTACTGCCCTCATGCCACTCAAGCATTTCCCACCAGACAGTTTGTTATTTAAAGAGTCACTGACCAGGAGTATGCTGGCTGAGCGTGGGGTCACTCCGAGGGGTCTGCAGCTTGTAGTTTAGATATCCAGCCAGGTCTTTAACCCACACAGATGGGTTCTCAGGAAACACGGTCTGACTTTTATCCAGCTCCTTCTGAAGTTCTGTCAAATCAAGCTGTAAAAGACACACAAAGAACATGGTATAAAATCTCAGTCTGAGATTCAGAGAACGGCTCTTAAACCTAACTACCCTCGGTATGGAAAAGCGAGATCTGAAATATAAGTTAGTTCAGGAAGATTGTGTAAAAAGACAGCTGAACTAAATTTCCATCTGTACTGGTGCAAAAAGAGCCCTGCATTTCCAAAACAGGACATACAGGCTTCCTAGAGCCACAACCATCACTGCTCCCCGGACTCGCCAATCCTTTGCATCATGACATGAATAACAGCAGCTGTATTGACACACAAGAGCTGGTTTTGTGTTTTTATATAGAAACTATCAAAACCAGTGAAGCCCAGTGCTGAGGGCGAAGAGAAGAATAAAAAATATGCAGGGACCTGACCACGTGTCCAGAACTGAACAGATTTTTACAGCAAGACTGAAGTCAGTAAAGCAAATAAAAATAAAACACTGTTCTAAACTGAACAGACTACGCAGAACTTGCCCCTTCTTGCTCCCCAGGAATATGAAAGTCAGAGCTGGTGACTAAACTAGGTTTTCACCACCGTATGCACCTGTTAGCACTAGCAAACCAACAGCCGAAAGGGAGTCACAGCTGGACCCGACTGTTTCTTGCAGCAACAGAGCTATTTGCTACGTTTCAATGACAAGGCCAATGGGTTCAATTTGTGCATCCCCACCAACTGGCAAGGGGAAAACAGGGGTTACCAAAGGCATAATCTGAAGAGAATGAGAGAGCATGTAGCTGCATTTTCCCTAGCAGTCTGAGAGTCAACCATGCTGAGTTGTACACACTTACCACTATGCACAACCGCGTTTGTATCAGAATCAGTGCACTTTGGGGCGTCGACCTGCACAGAGACCTAGAGGTAGGAAATGACTTGATAGCAAGATCCCTTGCTTGTCTGAACGACCCAAAACCAGCACACTGGGCCAATAACTAGTCTACTTCAAGATACGTTCGTACCATTGTCACCCTCTACCTATTTGGCACATCTTGTTTTAAAATTAGATTGGAAGCTCTTCAAGGCAGGGGTCATCTCTTGCTAGATCTGTGAACACGCCCAAAGCCAGGAGGGCCTGTTTACCTGGAAACATTACTGGATCACTGTGCAACAACTGAACGTCTAGTCCACTGCACCCTCAGGGACCAGCCATGTACGCTTCCTAACTTCTATTCTAAAAGCCAGGTGATTTATCCCCTTCCACACTCATTCGGTTTGGATTGCTCTTTTTAACGCCTAACTTCTATCCTTCTTGTAAAACACAAACACAATTAACACTGACGCACAAGGTGAATTTGGCTTAAATCGGAAATTGAATGTAAATGGTAACGTCCTTCTCCAACAGAAATGTAACAGATACCCCTATGATGAGCATGGAGTAAGAACCTAGATTAAAGAGAAGGAACTGAATACAGGAGCCCAGCAGACAGCTGGTGTCCCAGGTCTGCATTATGCCATGACAAATTTCACTGTAATCCTTGTTTGTTTGGCTTTTCTAAGAGAGTCAGTCTACACTCAGGAACCACGCCAATGGTAGGCAGACAAACACTGTAGCAGGTTTACTTAGAACATGTAAAGCTCACACCAGCTGAACTGCAGCCCATTTCATCAGGAGGCATGATAAACAAGATGTGAGAGAACATTCCCCGCAGTGAAGCCTTCGTAGAGTTCCTCCCAGAGAGCATGAGAAGTGGGCAGAAAAGAAGCCAGTGCTTCCTTTCTAGCCTGCTGGGGTCTGAAGGGACTTTCCTGCCTGCAGGAGCAGAAGGAGCAACACAACTTCAAATGCCTGTCGCAAAGGAGAAAAACAGAACTAATTCTTGCAATCGCGTTTCTGCCAACCAAGTGACAAGATCATTCGCGCCACTCATGCAGCAGACAACAGGATTGGGATTAGTAGTAGTCATTACTGGGATTATAGTAGCACCCAGGAGCCCCAGTCATGGGCCAGACCCCCATTGGCCTAGGCGCTGTACGAACATAGAACAAAAAGAAAGTCCCAGCTGGGGCTTTGGCCAGTCATAGCACCAAGGTGTTTGTGTTTTTTAAAAAGGAAGACAAGTTTCACTTCAAATAATCAACGTGACCTCCAAGAATGGCACTAGACACACCAAGGCAGTAGCCGGGAGTGCCCCCATCTCATCTCATTTGCACTGGAATGATGATACTGGGACAGAGACAGTACACTCCCTATCCTATTTTCCTCATCAAGATTTAAAAATGTTATTAAAGCTAATGTTAAAATTATATAATACACAGCTTAAGAGTGTCTGTACATCCGGGCATAGTGCTTACATTATCCAAAAGTACAAAGGTTGGTTTAAAAGTCATACAATACATATAGTATATTAAAACTCCAAAGGGGCCCTACTGCTTTGCAGAGACGCTTATTCAGACAGTGCAACGGTGAACCGCAAAATACCGGTTTGGCTCAGAGGACTAGGGCATGTCAAAGGCCGCAGCCTCTGAAATCTGAACTCTAGGAAGAGGTAAGATGAGCACTTTCCAGAACTGGTGCAGAAGGGAATGCTGCTCCTCAAGGCACAGGTGTAGTCTGGGCATCACAATCTGCTCCACTAGTCTGGACGAGCAAATGCTTACAGCTCTGAAACCATCACAGTCAGTATCCGAGTCCCCAGGATGGAAGAGCAACAGAGAGAACAGCACAGGAGGCGGGAGGTCAGAAACCTTCACATTCTAGTGTACTCGGTTTTTACATTCTGCTGCTCCCATCCAGTTGAAATTACTAGCTAGCTCTTCCGAGAGCTGTTTTCCCTTTACATCCTCTGACCTTTCTTATTCCTGTGAGATCACAGAACTTCTCTTTAGAGACACGTTTCTCCACTCGTCATTTTCCCTTACATGATGCTTTTAGCCCCCTGCCTTCTTCCTGATCCCTTTTCACCTCACTCCCACATTTCACCACCTTGCTTTTCTTAAGACGAGCTTTACAGATTTCTACAACACGGCACGTGCCCACCCTGGTCTTTCACATGGAGGTGCAAACCCTGGAGATAACAGGTCCCAGCATGCAGTGTTCCAGGATGGTGAACTGCTTGCTGAGAACTGTCAGCGTCACCACCCTATTTTCTCCTATAAATGGAACAAAATCTCAGTCCCAGTGCACCATCTTGCTCCCATACCCAACACATACCCCTCCAAACCTGCCTAAGGGCTCAGTTCTTCCGTGCAACCTGCCACTGTAGCACACATTAGTCAAATGCCTTCCTCACCCCAACCCGAACAGTGGGTAGTAAAAGTAAGCTGGAAAGGGGGGGAAATGAAGAGAACACTTTCCTACGGATCTTCCAGTGCATCTTTCCTCATCAGTGTTTGAATTTTGGAAGCTAAGAACCTCAAGCAAAGGACTAAATTTGTGTGTCAGACAGCACTGAGCAATTAGCTGGCCTTTAATTACACTAATGCATACATCTCTGACAGCTCTATTTTACGCAAATGAAGTGCCGCTCTTCAGCTTCTGAAACATTAACATTGGGGTTGGAGACTACGGGCACCCTATGCTCTGCGGCAGCTCTGGGCCTGGCTTCTTGGGACATCACCAGGATGAGTTAAGATGAGCAGGCCCATCTATAAACTCCCGACTGCTGATGCACTGCTCCTCACGCCCTTCTGCTTCAGTAATCGGAGGTATAAAACTCACAGCTTTCAGTGCATCCTCCAGCGTTCGGGATTTGCCGTGCTTGAGTCCTGCATCGACTGCAGTTGACTTTTTAGCATTTTTCCCCATGTTCTGTTTTTTGTGATGCTGCTCAGGGGCAGGGGCTGGAGGCACTTGCTCTTTGTTCTGCTTCTTCACAGTTTTCTCAAACCCCAGCTCAAAGATGGTGTCTGATGTAGTGATAGGTGCTAGAAATAAGAAAAACAGAGGGAAGTGATCAGTTTGGCTGAGACAGTAAAGGCAGCTCAAGTAGAAGCAGATGTACTGGGATGAAGCCCATCACCTAAAAAAGACCCCATCAAAAAGCAAATCCAGTATTAAGCGAATACAACTTTTACGAGTCAGGGACTACAGCTCCTTAACAACCCACTATCTCCCTTGTACAGAGGCTGGGCACTGCAGTCAGTCTCCTTCCCTCCAGGCTGAGCCCTGGGCAGCAGGATCCGCTGCAAGGCAAGTGACCATTTAATATAAGGAAGCATGCATCTCTCCCACCCACCCACCCACATGGGGGCTGCGGCAGGATTCAGACCCTCACCAGGAGTTGCTGGCATGCCCATCACTGCGGTACCCAGAGGCCAGTCTCACGGACACCCAGGCCCTGTGGAGAGCTGTGCGCTGTGGTGGTGGACCCATGGCAGAACAAATCCTCCCTCAAATCCTATGGGAACAGTTACCCCAGAGCATTCGCCCTCCTGCACCCACGGCCGCCTCCCCAATTCCTGTACAGCGGGGCCAAGCCCGGCTCGCAGGTGGCACCAGCTCTGAGCCCCAGGGCCTGCCTCTGCTCTCACTTACAGGGCGTGGTGCTGAGCCCCCCAATGCAGGCTCTGGCCCAGCTCCCCCGCCCGGGGGTCTGAGCCCCGC